AAACGGGAGAGGAAGAGGCTCGACAGACGAGGGAGATAAAAGGGGATCAGGAGAAAGAAAACAGAGGAGGGAGACACTTCAGACACAGAGGGGGAGAGAGAGGAGAGACTTTCAGAATAAAACTGATCCAACAGTCAATAAACTCTCAGCTTTAACAGGAAGTGTTTCATTATCAATATTCTGTGCCGGCTGTTGGACCCAGTGGCTCTGCAGAGGTTCAGGTTAGTGTGACGAACCTTCATTCAGAGCTCAGACACACACAGTGGAAATGGTGTTAATGTGAATATATGAGCTGTGGCAGAGACAGAATTCATACAATATTTAAAGCTTTTCTGGCCGACAGTAACTATGTGCAATATATGAACCCATAATGTTACAGCAGGCACCGACCTTTAACCAGGGCACACACACACACACACACACACACACACACACACACCACCCAAAGAACATTTTACTGAGTCGTCCTAAAACAGCAGCAGATCAACCTGATTATTAAAATATATTTAAACTGCAGCTGTTTAATAAAGTTATTATAAACATTTGAAAAGAACTTCCCAACTCACATAATCCATCCGAGTGTAGATAATAACAGCAGTGAGATAATCAATAATGATATTACTGTTAGATTCATTATGACTGTGTTCAAATGTATGTGGTTATTTTATTCCTGTTTGTATCTTTGTTGTCTCTGTAAATGTTTATCTTACCTTGAACCAGTTACGCCCAGTTTGGAGGATTTGGTTCCATCTAGTGGTGAAGTTTTAAATTACAACCAACTGAATACAGCTCAGCCTTCCATGTAGATACAAACATTCTCAGCTGATTAATGAACTATACCGAGTTCGGCCAGATTTAAACTAATTAATATCAATCAAATGTTTCAAACACACACACGCGCACACGCACACACACACACGCACACACGCACACACACACACACACACACACACACAGACACACACACACACACACACACACACTCAGATGTGATCTGCACTGTAGCAGCAGCAGGTTGACGTTAGTTCAGGTGGAATCAGGAAGTAAAAATCACTCCTTGCAGGAAGTGATTAGTAATGAATGAGTTCGAGTCAGAAGACGTTTCTGCTCCAGTGGATCAATATTCAACCGTTTACACTGACGGAGCTTCACATTCAAACAGTTTTACACTTCAACATATTGAGTTCATCCTTTCTGATTCAAACATCCTCTCTCTCTATTCATATATCACAGTAACTTCTTTACCAAGACTGGATCAGATACCTAAAGTAAGAGATACTGACGACCGATCGCTTCTTTTACAGAAGGTCTGAAACATAAAACTATCCTGATACCTGAAGTTTGATTATTGGCCGAAAGCGAGCGCCGATTCTGAAATCAAGGCCTGAATTAGAAAAAAAACAAAAAACATGCCGGTACCCTGAATGCAACATAACCCGGATTCTTTTGATGTGTTTAATCATCGTCAGTGCTGAGTTCAACAGCATCCCTGAGTTCAGAAAAAATGAGGTCCACAAAGTCAACTTGCTAAAATTAAAGAAGTTATTATCATTTTTTTTTATTTTGTACCCCTCGGAAAAATGACTGAGGTCCAGACCTCGCTGCCCTCAGAGAGAAGTAAAGGTACTTAAACTTAAAAACGCAAGCAGCTGAAAACAGTTATATGAAATAAAAAATCTCTCA